AGGGAAACTAAATCTTTCTGCCTTTGAGAGAGAATCCACACATACTCAGCTCCCTTTGGGGTATCCTGGCCTTTCTTGTGCTTAGACCCATGAGCGCTTGCAAGTAACACACTGTGCAATTTCACACAAGAAACAGACTTGACAGCGAGGCTTGTCTTAGGGCTGGGCACCAGAAAATGCTGTTTTGAGTACAGCGTAAAGTTCTCCATGTGGATTTAGACAAACACAGCTGGAGTCTCGCTGGACTACACAGCTTGTCCATGTAAGATGTATGGCTATCTCGCTGAACAAGGTCATTTGAAAACACAGTTTCTTTGCAAAGTAATTTTTTTAGAAAAAAAATGATGGTTTTGGACTCTGAAGTTGCTCAGCTCCATTCCCTGTCAAAGCAGACCTGATCCTGGCTGTGCAGGTTCACTTAGGACACTAATTTTGGAGAAGCTGCAGTGTGCCGAGAGGGGCAGGAGCTCCCACTTAGCTCCTCTCCTTAAGTCCCGCTCACTGTGGGCCTAGGGGAAGCGCATGCAGTGCTGGTGGTCTCCGTTCCCAGGTCTCCCAGGAGAGTAGCCGAGTTTCCCTGCTGGGAAGGAAGGGAAAGCACCCCAGAAGCTCTGCACCCCAGGGGAGGACCCAGACCCCGGGGTGCAGAGCTCCACGCGTGGCCTGTGCCTCATTCTCGGTGCGTTTTGACCCAAGGCTGTCTCAGCCCTGGCGCTCCCCCTCACCATCGCTCTCCTCTCTCAGCAGCTCTCTCCTTTTCTTTGCACCTCTGCAGCCAGAGACCCATTTCTGTGCCCACAGAGCCCCGAGTTGCCAGCAGCTACTCTGTGCTGCAGATTATCCATTGAAAATGAAATACAATCATGGGATGAGTGGCGTGTCCTGAGCTATTTTATTCTCTCCTTTCCTTGTTCTTGCTGTTGGAGCATCACCTGGAGGCTTTCAGCCCCAGCGTGTCCTTGTGCAGGGCTTGCGCTGCGACATCTGTGCCAGCGGCAGCAGAGACATGCGGCAAGGGAGGGCTCCACAGGGCAGTGGGCCCCCACGCCGAAGGGACCAGCGTGCATCTCCTTTCTTGCCTCTCCATTTATACAACCCACTCTCAAAATGCTCCCCAGCCCATGGTTAGCCCCACGCTGGAGGCAGTGGTCCCCAGCAGGGCTGTGATCACCTTGGCAAACCTGACACAAGCCCAACACCCCTGGCTGCTTTTGTGTGCTGCCACAGCCCTCCCCAGTGCTGTGTGAAGGCAGCGAAACAACTTTCCCAAAGCCCAGGGCTGTTCATATTAGTGCAAAAGTGTTGTCAAGAGAGTGTAGCTGGAGACAGCATGTCCACGCACATGCCGAGCTGCCTGCAGTTTGCACACTGGCCTGCGGACACTGCACAGACTTCCCAGCTCCCTGCTCTAAGCCATCTGTCTTGGTGTCCTATCAACGCTGGCATGAGGGAGTGTTGCTTGATTGCTGGTGACCTTTTCAACTGGTTTAACAGGATATTAGTTCCTCGTGCCAGAGCGAGCTTTCTCTAGATATGTTTACCTAACTAGGAATTTGCATTAATTACTTCCGCCTCCCTGGAGCGTGGGTTTGTGAATTCCTCCGTCCCTGCGTGGACACATCTGATGCTGTGTCTGGCTGCGTGCTCACTATGCCCGCACACAGCTGGCACACACCAGGATCGCTCAGTGTCCACAGTCCAAACCTGCTGGAGCATGGTGACAGCTCTGGGAGAGTGGTGGAGCATTTCTGTTTTATTTGCTTTTCACCCGCCCTTTTCCCAGTGAGCTTCTGTGTCTCTGTCTGAAGTTTGCTCAGAGTCATGGAGCTGGTTCAGAGTTTATCCGAGAGAGGAAGATTTGCAGGAGGAGCTGCAGGTATGCCTGCCGACACAGAGGCTCCCATCTTGCTGCCCCACGCCATGCCAGATGCTTCTGGCTCTGGAGAGGACTCAGCCTGCAGAGGTCCCTTCTCTTGCAGCCTTTCCAAAACATGGGCCTGCTTTTTTTCAACCCCTGGGGAACATGAATGCATGCACATGGTACATCCCTGTCTTAGATCGCATGCTCCTACAGGTAGTGCTCTCCTAAGACATGCATTGGCTGGCTTAAGTTTGAACACCAAAATGTGTTATGCCATAGTAGAGTTATCAGAAGTGCCAAACATCATGGAGTTTTCCAAGTTGGTCCACATGAAAAATGCCAGGGATATGGCTTTCCATATGGTTTTTTTTTAAGAATAAGCTGTTTTGTGGACTCCAGAAGCCCCGGTTTGCCCAGCTCCAGGGGAGGGTTTGCTGGGATGTTCAGATAAAGCCTGTGTGGTGTCCAGGGCTGCATGTATCTGTCGTCGTGAACGTGCCCAGTGTTGCTCTGCACATGCACCATTTTCTGCCAGACTCCTCTGACTACAGCACGGCCCCTTAAATCCTTGTGACCACCATGCCTGACTCAACTCCCCCTCCCAGGAGCTGCTCGTGCCCCGAGGCACGCTGACTCTGGCAGGACAGCTCCTGCCCTGGTGGGTGCCACGGCGGCTGGCTCAGTGCAGCGATGCGCGCTGGAATGCACCAACCCCTGCTCCGCACAAAAGAAATTCCTTGGCGGCGCAGAGGGAAAACAGGCTGTGCTGGCTCCCGCCC